GCTGGTTATGGACGGGCACTCATCTCTACCGTTCATTTTAGGATTTTTTTGGAAAATCCAGAACGCCTCTAATGCCTCTCTTGCTGAAATCTCCGTCTCCTGCGCTAATATCGTGCACTTAACTTCAAAGTAGTTGCCGTTATGCTCCTCAAATTTATGCCTACCAAGCGCCGTTATCAGGCTGCCACGCCTCGTACTAGCCAAGGGTTCTTTTATTCGTGTAGTTAGTTGTCTTCCCGTTTCTCCGATGTATGTTGACCCACATGTCCGGCATTCCATCTGTTAGTTCACGCCTTTCAGTGCGCAATAACCTGCTTTTTCGTAGAGACTATGATGCAATCATTTATTATGCACTGCTTGTCGTAGAGCCTATTTCAAACTAACAGCTGCTTGATATTGTTATTAGGATTATACACTAACAAGTATGTGGTTTATATATAGTAAGGATTGTACAACATCTTGCAGCCCAGCTCTGAAAATGCTCCGCTATATAGCATTGCTAACTTTATCGGAGATGAAGGGGAGACATAGAGTGGTAAGTTATTTCGAAGCGTAGCACGCTGCGTATTAGTGTGAGATTTTCTACAACCTTGTGACACCGTATAACCGTTCACAGCAGCCATCTCACAAGCTAAACGCCGGGATTGGAGTCCTCTATGAGCATCTCCAAGAAAATGGCGCCTGCAACGATCCACTCACACAGCGGAAACCAGAACGCGCCTAAGTGAGGATTTTTTTGGATACTTTCAAAAGTCTGAGAGGACTTTCGACTATCTGATCGCGCAAGGCCAAAAAGGCCCCTCCTCGATAATACGGCCTCACAAACTAAAAATGGTGGTTTATGTCATCTTCAAAATATCTCGCCCAAAAGTCGAGCTATCAGCGATTTGGGAGATTTGCTACTCCATCCCTCCCGACTCTGAGTCTTGATTTCGACCATTCAGTCTTCACTTATTCAAGCACTTTGCCAGTACTTCGTCCAGAGAAAAATGCTAGTTATTGGTAGCCTTAAAGGCGTATTTACCTTTTTTATATTCCCAGAACTATTCTTTGTAGAAGAAGAGATCGTTTCCCAGTTGTTCATTGCTTAAGTGCCATAAACACGGTGGTAAATAAATCGTCAGGAAAAAGGAGTCTCAAAGCCATCTCGGAAGCTTCGATTCAATGCAGTAGACTTCATTATGCCATTACCGACGCACCTTAGTCGTCAATATGTTTACTAACGCAACAAACTCGTTTGATGGTCAAACTGTGGACAATACATTTTATGTCTTGCAGCGTTTAAAACTGCCAGGAAAAATTGGATGATTTCTCAATATATCGAAATTGAAGTTAAATCAATGCACATAAGTCGCGACAACATTCCCTAACCATTGAAGGATGGTTCAGGCTGTGTAACTATTCCTCTCACTTCAACTATCAAACATCCAAAAATGAAATTTGATCGGATGTTTTTGGCTTTCCAGATGATATTTTCACACCTTTGGACATAGTATGGAGGGGGGGGGGGGGGGGGGGGGNGGGGGGCATGAATGCCATTGTAAAGTTCCATACAAAATCGTTCCTAGGGGAGAAAAGACAATACTTAGGAGAGCGAAATCAGACCCAAGTTCGCAGTTCGGTCCCAAAAGATTTGTCCCTTAAAATTTTATGGCAACAAAATACGAAAGTCATTTCGAAAATAGCACGAAAGACATGAAATCTGGCCCTATTTTTGCTTTGACCGATGACAATATATCAACAGCCGAACAGGTGATGTGATGCATTGTTTCTACCTAACTCCCTACGATTTAGCGACTTTTTCATTTTAATGGCGGACTCCATGACCACGTGAGCTGAAGACAAAAATATTCAGAGATCCGCTTTGATGAATACCATTCCAACAGTTACAAATCACACATTTGCGAATGGTTCGTACGTGAGCAGAGGCAAAGATACGAACAACCGGTTTGATCAATTCCTTTTTCATCCGCTATAAGGCGAATGAAATGTTTTTCGGATCACGATTCGCAGAACAGCTCATAATGCATGTGATAGGTGGGAAGAATCCAGTGCAACTTCGGTAAACAACACTGTCCAGCGCTTCTACTATCACACTTTACTGCTACTGTTATTCCTACCATGATGAAAATAACTCTTATTATTCTTGCTGCATTAGTGAGCAAAGCTTCAACGCAGTGGGGATGGGGTACGGGTTTGTGCTCTTTCAGAAGAAACTTGTGATTTTTCTTATTCTCATAAGGAACTCCGGAAATTTGCTACTCAAAGAAATTCTAAATAAATTTTTAAAACGTGCATGAGAAATTTCAGTATACATCTATTCTCAGAGTCATGACTTTACAATTCATAATTGCTACATATAAGTCCTTAATAGTCAATAAAACAAATCTTCAGTGAAGCTAGCGGTGTTTCCAGCTCACAAATGTTCTGCTTTCTTACAGCTCTCCAAAAAATTCTGGTAGGCACTTGAGCTGTATTTTGTTGAATTTATATGTTAAAAAGAACGCAATCTCAGTCAAGAACTTGCTTTTTGGAGGTTACCGAAGCATACTGCTCAGCAAATGTTTAGATTCCAAACCTTATTGCATCGTGCGCACACATTCATTGTTGAGCAGTGTAAAGATCAAATCAACCGAGATCTATCCGAAAAAATAATTTCAAAAAATCCAAGGAACTGAGCATTGTTCCAGCTGATACATACTAGGCCATCTCTATTGAAAGGGCGCGGATATTAATGAGATAGTGTGGAAGGTAATTTTCATTAGATAGAGCGCTGTGAAAGGTTCCGCCGCTCAAATTCAAGCTAAATCAACATTTGCAATGGAGGGTGTTATCTACACCTGATGCCGAAAATGGGTGCTAACCGTTAAAGAACCGAGAGTAGGCTAAAACAAAATGCCGACGTGGTACCTATAATATTCATACTGTTCACGATGAGAGGTTAGATGGAAACAAGCGAAGAGCGCAGAGAGAAGATCATTGTCGAATATCCCTACGAGAACGGCGTTTCTGCTGAGATCGTATCGAGAATGACGTCTTGAGTATTGAAGGTGAGCAGGTAATGTGGGTAGAAGCACTTCAATGTTTTACAGAAGCAGAACTTCAAAACCGATCTTAGGTATGGAGCCACAATCTCTTCCGCAACTGATGTTACTGTTCGAATAGAACACCACGATTATACCTTATGTTTTTTAGGTCAAAATTCAGCTCAAATTTTAGCTCAAAGTATGGATCAGCTTGGGATATCTCTTAGAATAGAAGCAGATGAATAGCCTACAGTGACTATTAACGAAGGGTCAAAGGTTCTAAGCGGACACTTATCGTGGCCATAGTATTTTTGGCTATCATTCTTAGGTGAGTACCGGTTTAAAAAAATCCCACTGCTGCTTAAGTGTATCACCACTTTCTCGACAATGACCGTTAGATGACAGACCACAATTCCGGGGAGATACCCATCACTAATTACTGTGTCAAGCCACATGCGACTCTTGTGAAGTGGCAGTTCTTTGAAAAAAAAATGTCAGAAGACGGACCCAACCACCGTCTTAGCCCGATATACAAAGATGGAAGCTCAAATTTTTCAGTCAAAAATTTTGCAATTTTGGAAGTCTATTTATGTTCGAATCAAAAGTCACCAAATTGAAAAATACTTAAACTCAAAATTGAATGAATACATCTTGAACAATACTTTTTTTCAACCTATGAGAACTTGCCGAATAAAGTTCGGATTAGTTCCGGCCCAGACCTGCTACGTTGTACTTCCTCTGCTAACACTTTGAAGTGCTTTTCTTTCTATGTATAAGCTCGATGTAATCTTGAGAAGCTTTTTTTAGGTGGCGGATTTGGAGATCCATTTTTTGGTGGTGGATGGGGTGACCCATTCTTCGGTGGTGGAATTGGTATCGGATTTGGTGGAGGATTCGGTGACCCATTCTTTGGTGGAGGATTCGGTGATCCGTTCTTTGGTGGAGGATTCGGTGATCCGTTCTTCGGAGGGGGATTTGGTGACCCATTCGGCGGATTTGGCTTTGGATGGTGAAATTTTCTAGCTCAAGGTATGGATTAGCCTAGAATATTTCTTGATCTAATTTGAATCTGCATACTTGTGAATCTAACATTCGGCGCACTTGAATATTTGCTATACTCATAGGCACACATATCCAATTCTAAATCATTGAAATATCGTAGACATCACAGCATCCTGCGCGGTACACTTCATCAAATTTTAAGTATGAAAATGGGCCAATGGATGGCAGTTATAGCGGAAATAAAATTCGTGTTGTACTCAGTTCTCTCTCTCCTGCCTCTCGGTCTCAAAGTAAGGATTCAGATCATTCAGAATATTTCCAGATCTGTAGTACTATCTGAGGCCGTTACTCAACTTGATTTAGTTCATATACTACAAAAAATAACTGCTAAACTAGTGCTCTATTTAGTTGGTAGCAAAGCTTACTCGAGAATCGATTAAGACTTCTATACTTCCTCTTTCACAAGTTAACTTTTTCCGCCTTTATTTTTAGACTTCAACGACACATACTTAACTGCGAGCATGTAAGTACGAACAGCACTTCCTGGCTCAACTCGAAAAGAGACAGCTCCCTTTTTCGTCGCCATTCAATAAATATGACACATCAGGTGTAAAGCAGATCCCATCTTTGATCATAATTTCTTTGATGATATGAGTAATCACAACATACATATATCTGGATAAATAAATAAATTATTAATATGAATAAATAATAAATATATACGATTTGTCCCACAATTATGGGCGCTTATTATGGAGGTGTACCTGAAGCTTCACAAGCTAAGACCAACAGTGGAATTCATATGCACACTTGCTACATTTGCTTACATTATGTGCAACAGCACGCTGCAATCACATTCCAAGACTTTCCTACGATTATCACGGATAGACGGATAGAAACTTGAAATCTACTCTTGATCATCCCCTAATCTTGCACATAATGTGCATAATAATGCACACAGGGAGTAAAGATCTGTAGAGAAGATGGCTACCCCTCTATGCTAATGAAGTCAGGCAGCCGACACCACATTGGAACGAGCTTGGTACTGTGGGCTAGAGTACTGGAAACATATGAGCTGCTTCAAAAAGCAAAGTCGGATCAAAACATCAGTATGTCCATCAGCATCTAAGTACACGTCTTTGCAAATCTTCATGCCACCCCCGAAGAAATGCACGGCATCTTATCATTGCCCATGAGCCTCTCATTAACATCACATCGCTATCACTATAACAAGTTTTCCGTGTAGCATTGCTCTTTCGATGCTCTTATCCGAAACGCGATCATTCCGGTTGTTAGGGATTGCCTTTGCCGTAAAATTTACTATCAGAGAAAACGACGACGAGATGAACGTTTTCTAGTCGTTGGGCTAGCAACCTTCTTCATTTTCAACCCTGCGCTGTCTGTTAAGATAGGAAATGGGTAATTTCTGCGTATAATAGATGTGGCAATGAACCTTCTTCCTGACAATCCGCCTCATCGCCAAGTCCTGCTGAATTGCCTTCCTTCTGATGAGTCACTAACAGTCCTATTTCTATTAGGTTGATGCATAATTATTGCGGATTTTTTCGCGGCTTTTTCTCTCGATAAAATTAAACTTTTAAACTCGGGATTTTTGTAGAAATAGTCTTCCCGCTTTCCTTAACAAAAATAAGTCTAGAAAGTCGTTTTGCCACATTATGCTCTATTAATTCGAGAAGTGTTGGAAGGGGGCACATCACAACGTCATCTCAACGAACTTCTCGGCGATGGAACAGCCAGCCAAAGCCGAATAAAGAATGAAACTGCTTCTACGGTGGCCCTATTCACCAACAGAAACTCCCATGGATTATCACGTTGTTCGCCCGTCGAAAAATTGATTAACGAACAAAGTTTTCGACGAAGTGGATGGCTCGATGACCAACGTCAAGGCGTGATTGCCTCCAAAAATCGAAACTTTTTCGCCTGTGGAATCCGACCGCCTCGGAAATGGGAAGCAGTGCTTGACGTAGGTGGTGGATATGTTCCGGAGCAATAATTCGAACATGTCTTTGCTGGATATTTCTATCGTTTCTTCAAGTAAAATTTGCTGAAAAACCGCAATAATTATGCTTCAACATAATAGAAACACTGTAATTTACACCTCTTCAGGCGCTACCTTCATTGATTCTGCTTTTCTGTATCGTACAATAGCCTTCTGTGCGGTTATTATTGGAATCACAGAGAATGCCTACTGGGCCCTTCCATCTCTTGCGTGCAAATGACGCCTCTTGCATGTAAATGATTGTTAGTGGTATCGAAAGCGCCTTCACCATCTTAGAAATATTGAGAGCCTCACTTCATTAACTATGCGTACTGCAAGGAAACCTACCTGTGCATCTAAGCGAGCGAAGTGAAATAAGCGAATCACTTCTGCCCAATGGTTCCTGAGCTTAGCGCCTAGACTTTCAAGACAATCCTTATATTGTATATACCTAGATATAAGTTTATGCAGTTATGCACACGAATATGAATAAAGAGACGCTCATACTCGCATGCAAAAAAACAAGCATTGAAACGCCTAGAACTACACATAGTATCACCTACCCATATATAGGGACACTTGCCAGCAGGCATAATCGCCCACACAGGGCAAACACACACAAATATAAGGTGAATAATAAGACCAATTACAATTTTGATGATCGATATCTTTTACAAGGGGAGGATACTTGATCGCAATGGCCATTCAAGATGAGATGTTTACCCCCGTAGGTGGTTGCGAACGCTGATCTTAAATCTATGTTCCAAATCTGCTAAACGATTCTGGGAACGAAGTTACGGGACCAGTTCCTCCCTGTGTTATACCACTGAATTGAACGGATCACCGGGCCGAGCAAACGCCTTACCTGTGCAACGGTGCCCTGGCGTATAGTGCGGTGGACTGGTAGGCATGAAATCGAGGTTCGATTCCTTGGTGCATGCGCTCGTATTGCTTTTCCATAAAATGTGTCCTAAAGGCTTGCAAAACGTTTTTGGATTTGATATTGGGCATCTACTGAGCTCGCTCTTAATTTAGAACAATGAAAAGGTAGTACAAGGGAAGTTTTTTCGCCCCTTCCGGCCGAATAGGGTGGAGCTATAACCAAACAAAAGAGAAGTTCTAAACATTTGATCAAAACGAGCTCAAGAGCCTCCATGGAGAAAGGTTCCAAATGATTCATCGGGTCAACCGCTCTTCTACATGTCACCAGCAAATTTCCTGACCATCATACTTGATGAAGGACTTTCGTTCTTAAGCATAAGCATAACATGGGCAGCATAACATGGGCACCGCCTAGGAAGAAGCGGTAATGAAAAGCTTTCGAACCGTACTTCTCGATGTTGTCAAAACAAAGCCGCTATCCTTTATGAAGAAGTCGAGTCCGTAAAAAGGAGATCACAATGATCCTCTGCGGTCGTCTGATGATGACAGCGACAATGGACCCGCAACTTCACCAGCGAAAGAAACCTCGTACTTTCGGAGGGATATAGAGGTTCCGAAGTGAACGTAACCTTCAAGTTTGTGATCTGACCTGAGAGCTCCAATTTTATGGCGCTGTAGAAGAGTCTATTATTGACAATTTATGATATCTTATATGTTCGCAATTATTAGGTGCAAAACAAACGGTCCGATGTGCTCACCTATGGACATTAGCGGATAAGTTGGAAGGTTAAGTCCCATTACAGGACAGTCATTTCTACTGAGTACCGCTTCAAATCAACGAGAAGGACCATAGGAGACAACTTTAAAGCAAGTCGTCGGTGGATACAAATCCGTTTTGGGTCCAGCCGCGGTATCTTGCCTCACCGCACCATCACATTTACCTCATGAAAGGGTAACTTCGAAGGGCGTTACCCTCAAAAATAGGATTAGCAGACAATCATATGTGAACCTAAAGCGATAAACTATTGTTCTTCAGTATCTCTTCAACAATGCCGTTAACTTGTATCACCGCTTCGAAAGCGCGGACAGTATTACTAGAACGTGAGGACCGTAATCCTCAGAGAGGGCTGTGGTGGATGACTCATTCGATACCGTAAGTGGTGCAGGCAGGTGCGGATACTTTCAAAACACTATCTTGACTGTTCTTGGTAGGGACGCGTATATGTATATACGATCAGTGGTGGGAGGAGGTTTTTTTATCGAACTACTATTCCGCGGAATCCTAAATTAGGAAGGAGCTCCGTAGGTACCCGATATTATGCCAGAAACGTTTTGCAAGCGTTAGGACACATTTCATGGAAAAGCAAAACGAGCGCATGCATCAAGGAATCNAACCTCGATTTCATGCCTACCAGTCCACCGCACTATACGCCAGGCCACCGTTGCACAGGTAAGGCGTTTGCTCGGCTTGGTGATCCGTTCAATTCAGTGGTATAACACAGGGAGGAACTGGTCCTGTAACTTTGTTCCCAGAATCGTTCAGCAGATTTGGAATACAGATTTAAGGTCAGCGTTCGAAACCGCCTACGGAGGTATACATCTCATCTTGAATAGCCACTGCGACCAAGCATCCTTCCTTATTAGATGACATCGACAGGAAGTGCGATAATCTGCGATAACCTGACCACTCAATAGCAAAGATTTGAAGAACTCTGTCTCTCAAACAACTCAAACAGCAGGCAAAACAAAACTGCACTAAGTAGCCAACCGCCACTCAAAATATCATGGATCTACATCGAATGAATGGACAGCCCCATACAAACCCTGTCAAAAGGCGAGTCTGAAAGAATTGCTATCGACTCAAAGCGAGTTAGAGTGCTTCTAATTATTATTTCTAGAAAAATCAATCCAAATTGTGCGGCAAGGAACCTATGCGATGCGATGGGGCACTCCATTGTCTCTTACAGCATGGCAAGAATTTGGTAACACAAGTTGAAAGTGATCACTCTGACTCGACGGAAGAATTGTGATCTGGGCAAATAGCTAGACTGATGGCCATTCAGCCTATGAGCGCATCTCATCAACGCCTTCTGAAGCTTGTTGAGGGTCGCACCGGCGAACTTACGCAGGAGCTTCACTACCACCATGATACACTAGCGACTCCTTCAGAAAGAATTAGAGGCACGGCACTGATGAGATGCGCTTATGGGCTGAATGGCCACCAGTTTCCAATGAGGAAATATGCATGCCTGAACTTGTTGGCCTTCGCACTTTAGCAAGCCTGAACGACTCGAATATTGGCAACGAGAAATGGGTTCTTCACAACCTACGAGAAACAAACTTTAGGAGGCAATGCTCAGCATGGGGTGCTTACTGGATGTTGCTGCCATCAAACTCCATCGCTACCGCCGAAGTCGACTGTACTCAACTGCATTGTGTTGATGCAGCTGTTCGAGAGAAGCAGC